ACATGAACTCCACACACACACACCCCCGGCATAGAATAATTACCACAGACATTTGCACTTATGTAATCCTATTTGCTGTCAATAAAGCAATAAAACAGTTTTCCAGCCATGTTCCTAACCATGTTTATTTGTAAATAAGTGCCATTGAAATCATGAATTTAATCCCAATAACTGTACATAGGTTTGCAGCTTATTTCAGGCAGTATTGTCTGTATATAAGCCACAGCTCAAGAACACCATGTCTAAGAATATGTATGTATGTATGTATGTATGTATGTATAGATACTCACAGAGAGACAGAGAGAGAGAGTGTGTGTATCTTTAAATCCTACCACTTTGGTGCAATTTATTTCAGTTAGGCTGCAATCCTATCCATACTTTCCTGGGCCTTAGCCCTTCATGATATTAGCCACAATCAAGGGGAAGGTAAGTTCATTGAAACCCAATGAGATAACCATACAATGGAAGGCTTCCAGTGCTATTTTTCTATTCATTTCAGTGTCCACTGGCCATTGCTACCCCATTGGCCCAATGCTTAGATGTGAAAGGCCTGAATCCAGGCTTAGATATGGTCAGTCATGACTGACTATTGATTCCAGTGTGTCCACACTAAGCATGTCTTAGTCTGGAGCTAACCCATTGTCTTATATAGTCTGGATCCAACCCATTGTACCAGCATCCTAGTGCAGTTATGGTCTTAAAATCAGTTCCATTGCTTTGTGGATGTATAAGGGGAGTTTAATTAAGAGGCTTGTGAAGGACAAGACATAATGATGGAGGAAGTTGAGTTAATAGAAATAATTTGTTCAATGTACTGCATATGCACCATGATCCCATCTGAGATTCGTTTTCCTCACTAAGAATATGACAGCATTTATATAGCAAAGGTAGAAATACGTGTGAGGAATTTAGTTTTATTTCTGTCCAATAATAATACCCGCAATTACTTCCCACAACATTAAATGTGATCATGAAATATGGCCATCATGTGCTGAATCTTCTGTAATATATAAAGGTTCATCTTTCCCCCTAGGGGTTCATAACATAAAATATGCTTGCCATGTATGTACAAAGGGAACTGTAGGGTTTGTTTGTTTGTTTGTTTGTTTGTTTTCTTCTGAAAGGAATATTCAGTGAAAAACAAACGCTGCTGTTATTTACTAAAGTCTTTAAGCAGAGATGCTGTGACTTATGAACTGAACAGATCCCCAAATGGTCAGTGGTTGGAAATATATTTTTCAACTAAGTTGCTCAGTCAAACATTCTTGGATATAACATGTGGATGTCCTTGTGTCAAAGTCCTGCACAAAGTGGATGAAAGTTAGAGGGAAATATTATTTTATACATGTTCAATGGAGAGCAGTGACTGGCTCCAGTCTAATTCTGCAAGTCCCTTCACATTTGTAATCTTCAAAGAAATTGCTGTTTAATGTTAGCAACCTTCTTTGATCCACCCTGGCTTTTCCACAGGCATAATCACAGTCATATCTATATAAATGAAGAGACATATGGGAAAGAAGGTGTGTTAACTCAACATTACTAGTTCACCACACTTTCATGGCAGCATTATTAACAAAACTTAAAAAAGAAAAAAGCCTGCTTGTGCTCCCCTTTATAAAGTAAGGTGACTGAGCACTTAGGGATGACCAAGGGTTAATTATTAGAAAACTGGAATCGGGGAAAACCTTAAACCTGGGTCTGTGACAGCTGTAATTGAGCTGATTGATTACAACATCTCAGCTATTGATTTAATCTAGTCTGCATTCCCCACTGGCTCTAAAGGTGCCCCAGATGAAGTCCTGAGCACTTGAACCTGGATATTCTCCCAAGTCACAGCCCGGGTATAAAATTACAAAATGTTTAGCCATTTTCTTCCTTGTTTGCTTCATGCTTTTTATTCAAGCGCTTCTAAATACTCTGTAGATGAATATTTTGTAGTTTGCAGGACGCACCACTCACTTGTAAACATAGTAACCTGCCCCGCCCCTTGACAGCAATACAGCAGTTTACTAGGGTAAGAAAAGGGGCAGACCAAAGATGCTGGAAGGAGCAACCAAAAAAGAAAGTAGTAATAAAAGTAAAATAAAAAATAATGATGATGAATTCTAGCAAAAGTAGACCCACAAGCTCAATTTGATGCATATTACTCCAAGGAAGTCTCACTGTGTTCCGTGAGGTTTATTCCTACCAATGTGCCTAGGAATAAGCCCCACTGTCACATTAAGGCTTAATTCTGAGTAAACATCTATAGGTTTGCAATGGCCAATCTACTATATGCGCAGCTCTAGGAAGTCAGTATAGGTCGCAGACAGTTGATACCAGTACATAGTCACACTGTAGGCGTTGTCGGTTTTTTAAAAATAAAAAAGTAAACCAGTTAATTGAATGCCATAATCCTGTCATTTTTATCAGTTTTCCAAATCTGATTTCAATCCTTCATTTGTTGGGCTATGTCTGGTGTGGTTTCATGCCTTGCAAATTTTTGTGGTCTTGCCTGCCTTTTTGTCAGTTGTTGTTGTTGTTGTTGTTGTTGTTGTTGTTGTTGTTTTATTTTACCCCACCCATCTGGCTGGGTTTTCCCAGCCACTCTGGGGAACTGCTTCTTAACTATCTTTCTTGGGGTGGGGGTTAAAAGTGTTGATGGTATTAATTGATGCACAATCTTCTTTAGGGGTCCTATACTAACGCTTGCTTCTTTTCTCTGTTGTAGTTTTTCGTATTTTAATATGGATGTTGTGCAGATTGAGGGCCTTCATGCTGCCTGTCCACTTAGCTTGCCCAGTCCCTACTTTAGTTGGCACTGCATGCTGGGATCTGCCTGTTTGCTGAAAGCTGAGAGACTTTTTCCTCTGGGGGACAGAGTACTGTACTCTGTTTCTTACATGATTTTTGTACTTTAAATCATATTGACATAGTGTTCCTTTTTCACAGAACTAAGTGCACAACACATATTTAAAATTTACCAAGTGTTAAGACAGAGCAAGTCAAAGCACATTAAATAACTGCATTATGAAACTAGCATGGCACACATTTTCTGCATCTCAGCTAGTAAACCTTTTGCTGAGATTTACAGAATATCTGTGGTCAAATAGCTCCATATGTATGTTGATAGATATACAATGATAAATAATGCTCGAATAAAAAAAGCCTGCACCATTGTAGTGCTTTTGTGCAATACAGTATAGCTGTTATTCTTTTGTTCTCTTTCTCCCTCGCTCCCTCCCTCTCTCACACATACACACACAGAGGCAGACACTCAGTCACTTTGTTTTTTGAAGTCTGGAACTGCCCCTTCCTATTACAGATTTTAAACCCAGAAGCTTTCTGCTTTATCATCATATTAGTGACTCGGAATCAGGCAGTAATTTGGAGGGGCGGGGGAATAAATCACCATTCCTATTAGGTGACAGCCTGACTCGTTTTTTCTATTTTTTTAATGCAGAGATTCTCATTAGGATGAAAATTATTAATTTTCATTAGTTTTGTTTAAAATACCGAGATGAAACGTTGCAACCTTGTAGCTTGGGGGAGAGGTGATGTGCACACTGGAAGAATCGTTTCCACTCATGAATTCAGCACAGGGGAAAGGCGGCGGGGGGGAGAATGAAGGCGTAGAATAAATTCTAAGTCTGTTAAAGAATTGCTGGCATTATTTCTCCTTACATCACGTGTGTGTGTGTGAGCCGAGCTTGTCTGCTCTTCCTGAGGCAGAAGACCGAGGATGTACGTCTGGGCACAGTCTGTTTCCACAACTGCATTTGGAGATCTGTCTTATTGATTAGGGGGGAGAAAGGGGTGGGAATAGGACGGGGAGGGGAGGGGAGGACCGTCAGGCTCCTGGCTTATTGCAGCTCAAGACATTTTCTTCCGGAAAGATGTCAAACAACTGAGATACAGCTACAGAGGAAGTAGAAAGGTGGGAAAAATAAGAAGAGGGACCTGTTTAGAAGAAATGAAGGCATTTCTTATGAGTGTACTGGGGCTGCTGCTGCTGCTGCTTCTTTTCCCCCCTTCTCCTCCTTCCTTCCTTCCTTCCTTCCTCTTGCAACATCTGACCCGCAAGGCTGGAGTCACAGCGTCATGCAAATGTTGCAGCCCAGCAGGTCTGGCAGAGGGCGGATGCTGGAGAGAGAGTTAATGTAAATGACGAGTGCAGGGAAAAATCCAGCCGCTGCCACCCCCTCCACATGCAGCCGCTCTGAGTCAGCATCCGACGTTTCGCCTTGCCTTTGTGTGCGCGCGTGTGTGTGCGTGTTTTGTCTGTGCAGCTGCGTGTGTATGTCTGTCTGAGTGTATGTAAGAGAGCATGTCCGTCTGAGTGTGTGTGTGTGCGCGCGTCCGTGCGCGCGCGCGCGCGCATATTCATGGGAGGTAAAACCCAGTCAGTCAGTGAGAAGCAAAGGTACGTTGGAGAGCAGCTGAAATCTGACTGATTTCCATCTACTGAGCATCAGATGTATTCCCTAAGGAGGATGGGTCTATGTGATGGGGGGGCGGTGTAATTATGTTAATGTCATATTTACAGAGGGGCTAGATTTTTCTTCCTAATTTCTTGGTTTGGAAGCTATGGTCAAAAATTGCTTTGGAAAATCATCTTACAGTTCTAACAAAAAGCATGATAATTAATTTTTTCCCCAAATGTCTAAAAATTACGGGGCTTCTGGTGATTTGTTTAACTCTTTCGTGCCTGAGGCATAACAGTTCGAAGTCTACTGCAGAGCAAATGACAAAGAAAGGGTTTGATTGTGACATGGTATTCTTTCCTCGATCAAAATCTTTAAAGTACTCCAACATGTACTGAATCTAGAAGTGACATTCCGTTAAATGGGGTGAGGGGCAAGGGATAATGAAACTACCTAGGAAGGAGGGGGTGTCAATTAATAAATATTTTCTTCCAGTTATTTTTGTGTGTGTAGTTTATTAGCTTGTTCTGCAACTTGAGATACTAATTATTTTGATTACTGTTGTTTTCTCTCTCCACTTTCTTTTTCCCTTTAAAGCTGAGCTGCATCATGAAGAAAGACAGGAGTGAGTTATATACACCAGTCTCTGCCTCAGTGGCCAGGATCTTTATGGCTGCTGATTCTTTGGCTCTGGGTTCATCTGCCGAACATCATGGATCTGTTCCTAAAAGTAGACATTTTCTTTTCCATTCTACAATTGAGACTCAGATGCCGAAGGAGAGAGAGTGAATCTTTTCCGCATTGTTGTTGTGCCATTAAAAGTCTTGGACTTTAAAAGCAAAAAGTGATTGGGCAAAATACCTTCTTTCCCGCCTGCTAACTGTATGAAGAATATTTTTTGAAAGTTCAAATGTGGTTCAACCGACTCGGGACCAAGAATGACAAGTTAGCTCAAAGTCATTGTGTTCTGCAGTTTAGGATGTGGAAAGTAAATCTGCATTCAAAAGTCAGGTGCTTTTTCATATTAGTAGAGAGATACATATTCAATAAAAGAAAGAAGGGGGAAACATAAATGATACCCAAAGGGCATTCTTGGTCTAAAATGGCTTTAAGGTGCAGAATGTTTTAGGGCCCACTGTAAATATGGTAGTGAAGATATAATGCTGAACTGTTTAATCTTTGTCTAAGCCACTGGGAAAAATAGAAGGAGAGTGTTTAAAAGTCTGTTTGAAACAGATGTAACCTGTTTTTAGCTTCCTGTTCTTACTTCTTTTGCATGCACAACTTTGATAGCCTTTATAAATGGGAGGGTTTATTAAATAAATAAATAAATCTCAATAATATCTTGCTCATGCAACTGAAGGTCTGTTTTGTCAGTGTTAGTGGTGCCTCTTTTTGTTACATCTTCCGCACTTGCTGAGATACTTTCTAAAACAACAACAAAGCCCAATCTGATTAATTGAAGAAGAATTCGACTGGATCTTATCGGACTTTTCCTAGTCCCTGAGACCCTAACTTGTGAGGTTTTTTAGTAACAATCACAAGTCAGGCTCTTGGGACCTAGGCGGAGGGGAACCAGCAACTTTGGACTTTAATGATTAACTTTCCACGATATTAGCAGCATAAAAAGATATATTTGTCGATGGGGGAGGCATGTGATGTTTTGGCCCACAGAGAAATGCATTGTGCAGAATAGAGATGGTAACGTGCTGTGTTACAGGTTCATATATTCAAACAGCTGTACTGTACTCTTTAATGTTTTGAATTAATGTTGGGCCTTCATTCAAGTGCTGGAGAATAAAGCATCTCTGTGATTAGATAATGAAACTGTGCTTGACTCGTTTGCCATTTCCACACTGAGGCCTAGCAAACCAGTATCTTCCCCCTCCCACCTATAAAGTTTTGATGCATTCTTTGTGTGTAGACAGGTATTTGCTTGTCCTGTCATTTTGTTCCAATGTTTTAAATGCTTTCATCTCTGTTTCTCTGATTGTAACCAGCATCACAGCATTCTATAGCACTTCCATAGTTTTACTGTAACATAAAGCTAATATCTAATGTATTGTTTTCCCTTGCGATTATTTTACTCAAAACTAGTTAACACAATTTTGTTCTGTAAAGACATAGGTGCTTCACAAATTGTTAGCATAGCACTGAAAAGAGCTAAAATATACTGGGATTGATTTCTTCACATACAACTTTCATTTCCATATAGTCCTTGAGGCTTTTTCAATTTCCTATATTATCTTTCCCATCCTCTACTGTGAAAAATTCAAACTTTGCAGTCTGAAACAAAGGCATTGCACATCACAAGCATTCAAACAATTCCCCATTTTGGATTATATTCCAGCTACAGCTGATTTCCCACCCCCCTGCCCCCAGTGTGTGGGAGGAACTGTTGTACTGTCAGCATCAACACTGTTATTACAATACATTGTTCTTATACTGCAGAATAATTGTATAGTCATTTTTTTAAAAAAGTCACCGCCCCAAATGTTATAAATAAATAGGGTCTTGTTCCCTCCCCCCCCCAAGGAAACACATTTTTGGCAAAGGCGTGGCACATTCATTTTTTGGCAACAATAAGTTTTTGCAAATTCTTTTTTAATCACATGTTTATATACTTGATCCAGCTGTGATCTAGCAGTATTAAACTAAAGGACTATGTATGTAATCAGAAAGATGTCTCCAAATAAATAGTATTGCAGGCAAAACCAGTTCATCATAATAAATGTGTGGTGCTCATTTTGACACACACTAATTAAAGCTGAAATAATGTATATATTTCACTTGAATGAAGATTTTCCAGTTACAATAAGATAAATGGAAGGGCAGAAATCTTTATAATCTATCATTGCTCCCATGCAACCTCTGCTGGTTTGATTTTGGCCCAGTAAAATCCATAATAATACTACATGAATCCAGTTGATGCTACATTTGCACAAACAGTTGCTCTATCCACCTTTGAAGGAATACAGGAGCATAAATTCAATATAGTGCTCATAGGTTGATTGAGAATAACCATTGTTTCAGGCCAAAATAAGTCTAGCTAAGTTGTCCTCCAGTGTGAGCCAAAGAGTGAAGTTCATTAAGAAGTGGCTCTGTGGAGAGCAAATGTATGTGCAAAAGGTCTTGGGTTCAGCCCCTGGCATCTAGGTAGATTTGGAAAAGACTGGAGAGTTGCCAGTCATTGCAGTGCTAACCAATGTTCTGACCTGGCGTAAGGCAATTTTCTATGTACCTACATAAGAATAAATCAGTTGCAGCATATGATGTCCAGTGGTGTAAGAGGGGAAATTGGAGATGGGTGGGTGGTAGGAATGGACATCCCGGACATTTTTTTCAAAGAAAGAGCTATAATTATTTACTAAAGTTATTGAGTCTTTTAGGGACCTCCCTTCCTCTAGCATGTGAAGGAGGTAATAATGAGGCTTCCAAGTTTTCTTGTGACAGATTAGCAGAGAGGGGGTTAAGACATGGGGAAGGGCTATAGCTCAGTGATAGAACATATGCTTTGCATGCAGAAACCTCCAGGTTCCAATTCCTAAAGTCTCTAGGTAGGGCTAGAAACCACTCCAGGCTGAAATGCTGCAAATCTGCTACTGGTCAGTGTAGATGATACTAAACTAGATGGACCAATATTCTGACACTATATTTCCTATGTTCATATCCTCCTGGAGAATGAAGGAATAAATCAAACAGAGTTTGGGTACTTCTGTTTTTTTCTTTGACAGGGTTCCTACTTCACACTGGCTGTTTAAACACTTACACATGTTTGCAAGTTTGCACTTCTAATTAAAGGCTAAAATTTCCATTTCAGACAATTCTTTATTAAAGCTCACTGTGTTTTACAAGTTGGACCTAGGCAGTCATAAGTAAGCACTGCTGAGTTCAGTGGAGTCTACTTCCAAGTAACTGTGTCCTGGGTCGCAGTCATACTCCTAGTCAATGAATGTGTGAGATTCCCTAATAAACTGGATATAGTGCTATGTACTGCTTCTATTTGTGGGCGCATGTGTCAGGATATTTGTCTTTCCAGGATAGTTCTCCAGTATCACAGGCAGTGGGTTTGTGTGTGTGTGGGTCCCCCCCCATTGTTTACTCACTGATTCTTTCAGCTGCAGATGCCAGGAATGAATCTTGGAGCTTTTGCACTCAAAGCATGTGTTATATCACTGAGTAATAAATGGAAGGAACTCTGGCTGATCTTTTCAATAACAGCCAGAGTAGATACTTAGTAGATACTGCATCTCACAACAGATTTTAAAAAACAAGAACTTTATAATAACTTGCTTTCCGTGGATACAGTATTCAATGGCCACACATGGAATTGCCCTTTCTTTCTTTCTTTCTTTCTTTCTTTCTTTCTTTCTTTCTTTTCCAATAGAGAAGCAGGTCCATATATATTTGCACATGTGTGGATATGGTAGTGTGGTGTGGTGATCCCACAAACTCTGGCAAGGGAATGTGACAAAATGTGCTCTGAGGATGAGTGAGTGGCACTTGTCTCATTGGGAAGATGGGTCCAGACTAGGGGGAAAGGCCTTCCACATTTGTGGTTGTTGACTCTGGTGATTGTTGAGCACATTAGTACACATGATGCTACATTAGGAAGGTAACATACAAACCATCCCTAAGGATCTTTCTAGATCTCCACAGGAATGATATTGTTAGGAGCAGGTTTTTTTTAGTCAGAACTTGCCAGAACCTCTCAGGTGAGCACTGGTTATACGACACACAGCAGAGGAAAGGAACATTGGGGGGGGTGTTTTTGCCATTCAGAATTGTCAGAAATGGAAAGATACCTACATCTTCTTTTCCCATCACACCAAAATACAACTCAAGACTATAAGGACATGTGACACTGTCATGTATTTACTGAATCCATCATATGGTCCAGCATGAAGGTTTTTTTGTTTTTGTTTTGGTAATTCAAAGATTTGGCTGATCAGCAGCAAATTTGTTGATGAATTATAGGTAAACATGAATAGCTATGTGTATATGTGTCTTTTTCAGTGCTTTTTTCTATCCGTGTAATATTGTACAGTACAATATGGTATAATCAGCTCCTGCTACAGCTAGTGACTCTATAAAAAAAGCAACCTCTTGCAGCACCAAGAGACACAATGATGTGTGATGCATACAAAAAAGGAGTGATATTAACAATTTGATGAATTCCTAGTTGGGAGACCAGATTGAGCCAGACGCATACATTAATGGCTGTCTTCTGCTGGTGTGAGCTGTGCTCAGTGCGGTGGAAATGAAAGATCGCCTAGTCTCCCTGATACCAGCTTATTTGTACATTTTAATTTTAAAAAGGAAAACCATTGTTTTACATACATCTCTTAACCCTTCCATGGCTTTCTCTTCCCTCCTAGATTGTGTTCTAATCAACTGTCAGTTTTGAATGTTATTTAGCAATTTCCCAACAAACATCAGTCCAAACGATAAAAATAAAAATGAGGGGAATAGCAAGTGATCTTGTGTCTGTCATGTTCATTTGGATTATCATTATCATGACAATCATGCTTTAAGTTTGAATTGTCATATGGATGCACCCATTTCCCCAAATGTCATTTTAAGTCATAACAACAAGTTTTATATATTTCACAATATAAAATGCATTTACAACACTTGCTTAGGATAACCTTATTGAAGGTTTTTAATTAAACTCAAAGGCATTAACACTTTGCAGCTCAATCCTAACCATGTTTACTCAGAAGTAAGTTTTATTGCATTCTGTAGGACTTACTCCGAAATCAGAGGGGTTGGGATTGGAGGCGGCAATTGAGTAAGACCCACTGAAGTCCCCAAGAGTCACTTCTCAGTAGACATGGTTAGGATTCCACTGTTTCATTATTTGATTCCCTTTTTACTTAGAAAACAAAAGGATCATATAAATTTGCTTATTATGACACTGCAAAAGCCAAATACTGTAAGAATAAGCTAGTATTAAATATAATCCAACCAGAGTTAAGCAACTCTATGTCCTAGTCATTTTAGTATGACAGTTTTAAGTATATGTTTAATTTTTATTTATATATTTACAGGCTCTGTACTATGCTTTTAAACAAAACCCTCAACAAGATATAAACAACATATCCATTCCATGAAACCTTTTAAAACACATAGCAATGAAAAACAAGAACATTTAAATTTCCGCATAAGGGGTTTAGAAATAGGGGTGAATACAAAAATGGGCAAATTTGCTGATCAACCAAATTGTTCAAGGTGGCTTGTGAGGAGCTCCAAAAATGGCAAATATGATTCCGTGTAAGCAAATGCGAAGTGATGCATTGGGGAGAAAAAAATCTTGACTTTGCATATATGCTTATGAGGTCAGAAATGATAACTGACCAGGAAAGAGATATTGGGGCCATGGTGGATAGCTCAATAAAAATGTCAACCCAGTGTACAACAGCTGTGGAAAAGCTGAATTTCGTGTTAGGGATCATTAGCACAAATAAAACAGTCAATATAATATTGCTGTTATGCAAATATATAGTGCAACTGCATTTGGAATGCTGTTCAGCTACTGGTTGCTGTACTACAGAAAGGGCATTGTAGAGCTGGAAAACATACATGGGGACTGGAACAGCTTCCCAGTGTGGAAACTTAAAACACTTGAGGGTTTTTCATTTAGAAAAAAAGGTGATTAAGGGGTACAAGAAAGAGGTGTATACAATTAATGGATAGAAAGAAGTTTTTCTTCCTGTCTCATAATACCAGAAGCCGGGTGCATCCAGTGAAACAGATTGTTGGAAGATCTGGAACACACAATTAAAGTATTTCATATAATTAAATTATGGAATTAAATTATGGAGTTTACTTTCACAAAGTGCAGTGATTGCCAAACCCGTCTTAAAACTATCCATAACTATTTCATGAAGGGTAAGGCTATAAGTGGTTACTTGCCATGGTAGCTGTATACTAGCTCCAGTATGCCTCTGAATACCAGTTACTGGGGACCACAAGTGGGTAGAGCACTGATGTGCTCATGTCCTGCTTGTAATAGGCATATCATTGGCTGCTGTGAGAACAGCATGCTAGACTAGATGGCCC